GTTTTACACTAAAAGGAATTATTTGGCAATTGAAACAATTTCTATTATATAAAACTGGTATAATAAAAAACCTGCATCTTATAATCAGCTTCTTGACTAGAATAAGATATAACCTTTTATTAGGTTGTTGGATTTCAGGAGCTGGTTTAATTGTGCTGTGACAAGACTGGTAGGATTGTGTCTGCGAAGGAGGAAATGGGGAGTGTCAGTAGTACATGTCTTAAAAGTATATCTTCTTCACCATAGATGAGTCCTCATTTTGAGGCACACAGAAAACCACTTCCCCAGTGATTGCCTGCCAAAGGTAATGGAGAAACTGAAGGATCAGGAAGGAATCAGTTTAGTGGTAGCTTAGCCATGTAATATATTTTCAGTTATTTCATAATCACAACGTAAAGAAGTTTTCAATAATTGTACTGATTTTTCACAAACTGAAGAGGTTTTGAAGACTTTGTTATACCAAATGTTTCTCGTATTACTACTACAGGAATTACTTTTTGCCTTTTAAAAATTTGTTTTTTTCTTGCAACATGTGCTCACTGGTCAAGTCATTGCTGTCTAATGCCTAACATGTAAATTGCCAGTAGTGTGTTGTGTCAGCTTGAGGATTAAGCTGGTGCGTGAAGTACAGAATCCAATTTCCAGAATAAGTCTTCCAGTCTGTGCTTAGTCAGCTTTGTTGGTGCTAAGGGAAGTTCTGACAGGAAATGTTCAGCTGGTTCTAGCAGTACATGGTGCTGCAGCACCTGAGAACCAAAGGACTGTTTGCACCATCAGATGGTCCTCTGCTAGAATTAAATCTTCCAAGTTGATAACTCCCTGAGAATGGGCTAAGGAAGCTCGTTGGCTCTACACACCATGTCTTTGTGTGGCATAAGGAAGTACTGCTCGTTGTGACTTCAGTGTCATTGCAGGTGACTAATTTGACTTGTAAATAGATAAGCCTTAACAAAAAGTCTGATGTTTAGATTTGTTTATTGATTCTAATTAAATTTAATTATATTATTTTTCCCTTTTGTGAATGAAAACATGGGGCTTCCAGTGTTATTACAAGTTAATAATTATAATGAAACAACTTGAGTAACTGTTTTAATTGAAGGATGGACAGGTTGCAGCCTTTAAGTATTTTTCTCCTTAGATTAAATAGCAGTGGTCAAACTAATAAGGCAGTTAAAAGCCTAAATGCTTAGTGCCACACGTGTTTGTACTTAAATTGTGAGGCAGAGCAGGAGATTTCACCTAGTCCCTCCATTCTTTCCTCTGAAAGATGATCATTTATTTTGGAGTAAGGTGTCAAAAAGTATTCTGGGCATGTATTGTTTAACAAGTAGATACTGTGCATAACAATTGTCACACCATTCAGAACACAATTTTCAGTTTTAGGTTAAAGCTGTTAGGTTAAAATCTTATTTTGTTAGGAGTTTCTTCTTAGTAGTACTTAAGAAGATTAAAGAACTATAAAACACTTTCAACTTTCATACTGAAGTAGAGGCAAGAGGCAGAGGAACTTCCTTAATTCTCACAGAAAATGTTAAAAGACATTCAAAATAAAATGTGTCATATTGAAAAAAAAGACTTTGTGATGTAGTCTTTTATGCAGTTGTTTTATGTTGGTATTTAACCATTGTTTCCTTTCAACAAGGTAGTTATTGACTTAAATTATTTTAAACCAGTTGTAGTACAGACATACTTTCTCATACCAAATTCTGAAGTGTTGTGGGTTTTTTGAAGTTTGGTGTTCCTTTGTGAATGAAAGCACGTTATGCCCTTTAAAGGCACATTTGATTAATCCAAGAAGTCTCTCTTTATAAAATAATTTTATAATTATGTCAGAACCTTGTCTTTTGTTATGAACTATGTAATTGACTATACCTTTTAAAGCTTATTGTAACTGACAGCTTGTGGTTGACCTTCTTGTTGCATACATATTAAATATAAACAGGATGATTCATTAGGCTTCAAGTTTTTGAATTTTTTCTTGCATCGTATTTTTTTCCGGTTACTCCTTCTTTCCTCCCCTTCAAAGTTTGAACGTTTACATTTTGTTTCTGCTGCCTTTGTATGATCATTGTTTTGCCCTAAAACGACTGCTTTTGTTTCAGTCTGTGCTTGGGTAAGTCTTTGTACCCTGAGACTGTATCTTTACAGACAAGTGGTAAGGACTTGTTGAGGCTTATCTGTAGTGTGAAATGGTTTATGCTCAGGATCTCATATTCACTGTTTATATGTTTCAAGTTTTTTTTTACATTGGTCTAGTTCTAATCTGGGTATGTGGCTGAATGCCCATTTTTTGTTCTGGAGTGCACTGGATTATTTCCTGGAACACATCCCTTGATTTAGTTTCATCTGAAAAGATACTAGTTCATGCACGCTCAGGTCACTCCACAGTGGGAACGAGAGTCATGTCTGTGGGAGGCAGTGGAGAACTTAACTTCAAAATCATGCTCCTGAACTGAAAGTCATCCTGGGATTTTTTTTTATTAATGGAGAGTTATACAATACTAAGGTACCCCCATTACAAATCATTTTTGCAAATCAGTGAGATGAACAAAGCAGTTCTAGGGAGAAGGTTGGTGATGGATCTGAAGATCAGGATGTGCTATGCAGATAATAGTAAAATCTCTTGGTCATGGCTGCATTCAGCCTTGGTGGGAATGAGATGTTATGTGTCTTGTCACTTCAGAAAAATGTATTGTTACATCAATGTGATTTTTTTTATTTTTTTTTTTTAGAAGGGCAATGTGCTGGATTGTGTTTCACATAAGCATAAATCAAAATTTCAGGATAGCTCTGTCCATTTTGAGGGGAGGAAGGGTACAGGGAGATACTTTTACTCTGAATTCAAATTGCAACTATAGGAAAAACAGTATAACATTTCATTTTAAATGGTATTTAATAAAATATTTACTTTATTACATGAATTTTCAGTAATATAAAGTAATATTTTATGGTTGCCAGGTGAGCAAGGGGGGTTGTCACAGTAAAAATAAAAGTTTAAATGCTTTGCACTTGGTTAGTACAAAACAAATTCCAAGAATGTTTAACTCAGACATTTATCTTGAGTAGGTGACAAAAATGCAGACACGTGGCAGCCTAGATGCAAGACAAATGTCCATTTCAAGTCTGTTCTGGAAATTTGTACATTTTGAAGTGGGTGGCATGTTTTCAAGAAAGAATAGGGAATAAGTGCTTCATTGTTTCAAGCCTCATTAGACTTCATTAATAAACAGAGTAGAGGCTGAGGAAGAATGTTCAAACAGTTGAAAGCTCTATATATTTTCAGTGAGTCGCATTCCAGAAGTCTCTCAAGTAATCACTGATTTCTTTCATATATCTTTTTCCTTTATAATCAAACACATAATGTGTCTTGGCTGACATTTTTGATTGCTCCGATGGAAAGGATGTATAATACATAGCACCACTGTAATCATGGTGTAAACCATTCTGTCACACTACATGGTTATTGTGGAGGTCTGTGCTGCATGAGGGTTTCTTTTCCTTGATGCATGTATGTTGAAATTACCTAAACTTGGAATTAAAGAGTATCAAAAGTGGTAGGGGAGAGGGGCTTTAATAAGTAAGACTTTAGTATTTGCAATTTGAAAAATGTGGTATGACAAAATGTTGGGGTTTCCACATAACTTGGGTTTAAATTATGTTGATTTTTAAATTCTAACAGTTTTAATGTCAACTGTTTTGTGGTGGGTGAAAATGTAGCTGTGTCAGTGGTAAAAGAAAAGTCAGAGGTTTGTGCAGATGCATGTAAGAACACTCTGGGGATGTTGGTTTACCTGGTATAAGGACACGTGGATTAAGAGAATGATGGCTTTTGATAAGTACTTTTTTTAAACATTGATGTTAAAATGTAAAAGGCAAGCAGTGTTAATTATAATCTGTAACAATCAATTTATACTTTGAGAGGTCTTGGCTCATTTGAACTTCATAGGGACTACAGCTGACATCTCTGTGGTTAACTTGTGAGGATTAGAAGCTGGTGTTTAAAGTCACTGGTGCAGTTAGTAAATTTCCTTTAATGTAGCAAATACATTTACTTGCAATCTGTTCTATTACAGTTGCTTTAAGGAAGGTACACTTTTTTCTTTCTCTTAATGTTCT